CCTGACTTGGCTGGCACTTCGATGTTGTCTTTTGTTTCAGGTCCGATTTTCTGGAACTCTGCTTAACTTTATCTTTGCTCTTGCTTTTCTTTTTCTTTTTTCAAAGGCTGTGTATTTTATTTCATGTGTGAGTGTTTACCTGTATGTCTGTGCATGCCTGGTTCCTACAGAGGCCAGAGGGATTTGATCTCTTGAAACTGGATTTACGGTTGTGAGCCACCCGTGTGGGTTTCTGGAAATTGAACCCAGGTCCTCTGCAAGAGCTCCCAGTGCTCTTGACTGCCGTGCCACCTTTCCAGCCCTCCTGTAGGCACTAGTTTTTCAAACACTACTTCACTTGGGGGCTCCTTATAGCTTATACCTCCCTTCCAACCCCCAACCTCGGGTAGGAGAAAAAGAAGGTTGTAGGGAGTGGGGACGTAGCCCTCTTTACTTCCTCCTGCTGGGTGGGTCATAGGATTTTTGGGGGCAATACCAGTATCTGTCATCAGGAAATCCAGAGGGCCAGGTCACCAGCAAACACAGCAACAGGACGAACCAGCAGCAGGGAGTCCTCCTCCAAGCCACCATGCCCTCTTCCTCTGGGCTATCATATTTATTTATTACATATCTATCAGAAGAGGGCGCCAGATCTCATCATAGATGGTTGTGAGCCACCATGCAGTTGCTGGGAATTGAACTCAGGACCTCTGAAAGAACAGCCAGTGCTCTTAACCACTGAGCCATCTCTCCAGCCTGGGCTATCATATTTATACCCCTCCAAGTCCTCAGAATTCAACTAATTCCAGCTGGCAAAGACCACGCTCCACACAAGACAATTAACAGGACAAACTAAAATTCCCCACTTGGGACTAGAACAAAAACATTTACATATCACAAACCAAAACGTCCACAGTTCTCTGTCTTTGCTTTTCTCTCCTACTATACTATGTCTAATGACAATGTTTCTCTTGGCTATAAGTTGTAGGTCACTCTCTTCAGCCTTTCTCTTTCTGCAGACTCATAAACTGGAAGGGACATTAGAGATCACCTGATGCAGACCTTTTCTTTTGGTTTTGAGGAAACTGAGTCCCTGCGAAGTTAAGGCCCTGTGTTGCTATGGTTAGCATATACACACATTACTAGCTTTGCTACACGTCACAGGCATTGAAAAAGACTCATTTGAGAAGGAATTTGCTGTGTAAGTTGTTTATTTAAGGTGTGACGATCAGGTATGAACAGAAATAGGAAACAACTTGGGCCTCCTCGGGAATATTTATTCATATATATGTATATATATTCACATACATAGATAGATGATAGATAGTTGTTAGAAATTGTGGATTGGTTGATGGTAGTCATGCTTAGACTGGGAGAGACCATCATGATTCATAGTAATAACGTGTTTTTTGGAGACTTGTAAGATTTATTTGCACGTATGAATGTTTTTGCCTGCATGTGTGTGTACCACATGCCTGCCTGGTGCCTGGGAAAATCAGAATAAAACATTGGATCCCTGGAGCTGTAGTTACGGGTAGTTGTGAACCAACATGTGGGTGCTGGGAACTGAGCCAGTTCCTGTGGAAGAGCAGCTGGGGTTCCTAACCACTGAGCCATCTCTGTAGTTCCTTAAACTTCACACTCCACAGCATCTTTTAGGTTTCTCCCGGTGGTTTCTCTGTGTAGCCCTGGCTGCTCTGGAATTCACTCTGTAGACCAGGCTGGCCTCAACTCACAGAGGTCGGCCTACCTCCTTAGTGCTGGGATTAAAGGCCTACGCCACTACACTCAGCTGAAGTCCCAACATTTTAAGTCATATTTAAGGTTTCTTTTTTTTTTTAATCAATGATTTAGTATCTTTAATACTAATTTTTTTTTTTTTACTTAGTGAAACAAAATGAAGGATAACTTTGAAATTGACATTTAAAATATTGTTACAAAGAGATTTGTTACAGAAAACTATTAAGACATATTTAATAAGCATTATTTCCACACTTTAGTTTAGAAACAAAAAGTTCTGGAGACAATCATCCCAGTCCAACACAGGCCTATTCGCTAATGTTTAATGTATTTAAGGCCAGTTCATACTTGTGCTCAGTTATTTTTAACTGACTGTAAGGATCCTTCTAAATTGGTTAATTTTTTTTAATTTTAGACTTCATTAGAAAAAAAAAATCGCTTGGCTGGAGAGAGACAGCTCAGTGGTTAAGAGCACTGGCTGCTCCTCCAGAGGTTCTGAGTTCAATTCCCAGCAACTACATGGTGGCTCACAACCATCAATAATGTGATCCATTGTCCTCTTCTTGTATGCAGGCTCTGTATACATAAAGAACACTCATATACATGAAAGGAGAGATCACACACCAAAATCAACCAGACCCAAAGACTATACAACTCAGTGAACTTACGTACAGTTGGAAGTAGCTATTGAAAACAGAAGCTGTGGAATTCCCATTGGGTTTTATACTTTTACTATCAGATGTTTTTATACATTTACCTGCCATAGAAAATTAAATCCATGACAGAGTTTGAACTAGAAAGTATTTTTAAAATCACCACCAATCTCATCGGAGAGAAAGAAAAAAGCTTTCAGGGGCTGGAGAGATGGCGCAGAGGTTAAGAGCACTGGCTGCTCTTCCAAAGGACCTGAATTCAATTTCCAGTAACTACATGGTGGCTCGTAACCATCTATAATGAGATCTGGTGCCCTCTTCTGGTTTACTGGTATACATGCCGGCAGAATATTAAACAATTAAGAATTGATCCAGCTAGAGATGGCTGATTCAGGTTTTCTAAAATTTCTAATTTCTGGTATTTTATTTATACTGTGAGATGTTTTTCTCAAAATAGCAGCCTTTCTTCCTTTTCCAGAAAATATCTAAGTTCCGTAGACAGTAGTTTAGCATGTATTTAAATGATAATGATTCATGAAAAAGATGGCTGTGGTTGTAACTCAGATCTCCTTTATAGACTTTGTCTTAAGATAGTAATCAACCTGATAGACAGGACCAGTACTTTAAGCCTGTGTCCCTCTATATCACTGTGCTGGTTAGGTTTCTGTCACCTTGACAGGAACGAGAAGGAACCACAGTTGAGAATATGCCTCCAACAGATTGGCCTGTAGACAAGGGCATTTTCCTGACTGATGTAGAGGCCGATCCACCTGTGGAGGGTGCTACCCTTGGGCAAGTGGTCCAGTGTTGTCTCAGCAAGTTAAGAGCAAGCCTGGTGGACAGCAAGGCGGGAAGCAGCAAGCCTCTGGTCACCTTCAGTTGGTGCCCTTACTTCCTTCAGTGCGGGATTATGACCTGGGAATTGTAAGGCGGGATATTTTTCAGATTTATTGGGGGCGGGGGTGTGGCCTGCTTATATGTCTGTGTACCAAAGTATGCATTGCCCTTGGAGTCCAGAAGAGGGCATCAGAGTCCCTGAAACAGGAATTACAGACAGTTCTGAGCTGCCATGTGGGTGCTGGAGATTATCAAGGTTCTAATTAAAATAACTTGAAAACTCTTTACCTTTTTGTGTGTATGACAATGTTTTTCGATACAGCCTAGCTTTGGAAAGCTAGTTAAATCCAGGCTACAGGTAGTCCTGTTCAGCGAGTAAGAACAAATTTAAGATCAAGTGACCGCATGACTGCATTTGTCTTTAATTGTAACTTGGAAGTTGAAGGCAGTAGATAGGCAGTGAGATTCTGCTCCCCATCCCCGACCCCCTGATGGTTTAGCCCTGGCAGATCCACCATCTGCTGCTTCCCAAATGCTGGAATTAAAGGCAACTACAGCACTGGTCTTTACCTGTGTCAAGATTTATGCTGAGGCCGACAAATGTGAAGCCCATATAAATTTGCCAGTGCTCAAATGCAGTATAGGGCATACTTGGGCAAACATGTCAATATTTGCTAATAGAATACAATTAATTCACCAAGTGTTTTCTGACATGCCCAGTATTTTTTTCAACAGTATATTAAGTTCATTTCATCATATTCTTCCCAACACTGGATATTCTTAGGGATCTTAAGTACAGGTAAAGACTGCAGCGCTGAAGAGTATATATGTAGACACCCCTATGAGGTGATGGGAACTGAACCTAGGTCCTTTGCAAGAATATAAGTACTCTTACTGTGTCATCTATGAACCCAACACTGACTTAGGACTTTTCTAGACAGACTTAACACAGGGTCTGAGAATGTACTCTTCCATCTTGCGGGTTAACAAATCCATGTACATGCTTTGCAATAAGCATCCACTATGGATTGATATTAAAGCTTTACTAACCATCCATTCAGCATTTACCAAGCTATTTCTGTGTGCACACCACAGAACACATTACGAAGTCATGAGAACAGAATCATGTGGATGAGAAGGAACTTAACAACTTCGGTGCAAGACACCTTTACCCATGTGGCTATCTCACTGACCATCTTTTCCAAGTTACCCATTGACAATTCTCTGAAGCATAAGCTCTAGCTAGTGTTCTTTCCTTTGGTCACATCTAAGAATCTTCTACCAAACTAACAGCCAGAGAAAGGGTCTCACTATATAGCTCTGGCTGTCCCGGAACAACATAGACCACACATGCCTGTAACTCAGATTGGCCTGCCTGGCTAAACCTTTTTCTATTTTCAGCCTTCTTTAAAAAACAAAACAAAAATGAAAACCAACAAGAACCTTGCCAACTATCCTGTTTTGCCTGCACCACTTTCAGGACTTTTTTTTGTAACCCTGTGAAACCTGAGTCAAACTATACATGTAGAGAGCACCAACTTTAAAAACATAAGCTTTGAGCCAGGCTCAGTGGTGCTCACCAAATAATCCCAGCACTCTGGAAGGCAGGGAGGCAGATGGCTGAACTCAAAGCCAGCCCGGTCCACAGGACCACCAGGGTTACACAAAGAAAACACTGCGCCAGAACAAAAATAAACTTTTAAAAAAAATAGGCTTTGTACCTAGAGTTAACTTAGGGCTCATCAGACAAATCCCAGAAATCTGCCAGTACTAGCTGAACAAAAGACAGGCAAGATTTTAAAATATCTTTATTAATGCCAATAAATATCCATTCCTCTTTTATCTTGACTCATGTTCTGATACAGCTCACTTGATCCTGCCAATGAAAAAAATACAATTAATCCATTTTATCAAGACTTCAAACAATTTACTAAACCCCCAACACCACCCTGTTAAATCAAGAAATGTGGTATTTTATAGTAGCAAAGAGCTACAAAGGCAGTTTAAAATGCTGGGTAAAGGATAGTTCAGTTTATGGTGGCGGCATCTGCCTAACATCCTTCATGAAGCCTTTACAGCACACAAACTAACTCTGTAATCCCAGTTCTTTGGAGGTAGTGGAAGGAAGACCAAAATTTAAAAAGGTCATGTTTTACTTCACAGCAAGCTCCAGCCATACTACAACACACAAGTCTGTGTATCCAAAGAAATTAACATTTTCACTCACCATCTTTGTCCTAAATGATTTGTGGCTTTCCCTCTTGGCTGGCCCATGCTGTGTGGTATCTCTTGAACAATTTATTCCACCTACAATAAAACACAATAGCCCACAGATTATAGTTTATGTATTTTGTGCTGGTATTAAGAAAAAGTACATTTTAGGGGCATGGGTTCTGAACATTTTTTTTTTTCTTTTGGGTTTCCCAAGACAAGGTCTCTGTGTGTATAACCTTGGCTGTCCTGAACTCACCTTGTAGACCAAACTGACCTCAAATTCAGAGAACCCCTAAACAATTTTTTTAGGTGACTATAAGATCCACCCACTGTCACAAATGGAATTTTAAAACCTGCAATTACAGCATTTTTTTTACAGCAATTACAGCAAAGTTTTTTGTTTCTTAAAAGACAGGGTTTATTTGTATAAGCCTTAGCTGTCCTAGACTTATTTTGTAGACCAGGCTAGTCTTGAACTCAGAGAGATCCACCTGTCTTTGTCTGAGATTACAACATGCGCCTTGTCCCACCCTTATTTCTTTTGGCTTTTTCCCCCCCAGAGCTGAGGTTGGAACCCAGGGCATTAGCAAACGCTCTACCACCGAGCTAAATCCCCATATTTTTTTAATTCAAGTTTTGAAGTTGTTATTATTTCAGTTTTAAGCATCAGTTTTTAGGGTTTTGTTGTTTTCAAAGAATTTTCAAAAATTGCTTCATTGTGTTAAATGTTTTGGCCGTGTAGGTACTAGGAACCAAACCCCAGTCCTCTGGAAGAGCAGCTAGTGTTCTTAAATGCTGAGTCAATTCTTGAGCCATAGCATGAAGTTTTTAAATATTCTACTTAAAGGTGGTGGTGGGGTACACCTTTAATCCTAATCGAGGCCAGCCTGGTCTACTGAGTTCCAGGACAGCCAAGACTGCATAGAAACACTGTCTTGAAAAGCAAAAAACCAAAAGAATTCTACTTCACATTCTTTTTGTTTTAGTCAGTATGCTCAAATAATATTTGGCCCTTGGTACTAGGAATCAAACTCAGGTATAGGACAGCATATACAAGGCAAGTACTCCCAATCCCTAAGCTACATTCTCCACTTTGACAAAACTAAAACTGGTATCTTGATAAATTATCAACGACCAAAAAAGCCTTCAGCTCAACGTATTTTATCCACCAAGCCAAAAGAAAAATCAGGTCCTAAACCCACAGTACTAAGGACACTTACCTCAAGTAAATGAGACTCCAAAATCAGCCAACATCAATCATTCTTACCTAAAGAATAACAAGAAAAAGTTAATACGGAAGACAAGGGTGTAAGATAAAGGCTTGAAAAATGCTAGTTAACTTCCACATTTCAAAGAGCAAAATTCCAGAGATTAAAAGACTGGAATAAGTTGTAGCATTAAAACAAACAAAAAACAAAACAAAAAACAGGAAGAAACCTTATGGGGGGGGGGGAGCTAAAATTATTCCCTATGTAAGTAATAAGTAGATGACAGAATTAGAAAGAAAACTATCTTCTTTAAAATGCAAAAGCCTAATTTCTATTTTCACCAGTCTGAGCACAATGAAGTTTGACTGCAACCCAAAATATACTATCCCTTATGTGAAGGTATGTGACAACGTTTACCTTACTGAACGAGCTATAGCTCTACAACGTACCCTGCTTCCCAGTCAATTCCATGCTTTCATTCATTGGTAGAATAACCTCCAGGAGTGCTTTTGACCCTTTCCCACAGCACACAACACTGCAGTTCTTAACCCTGCAATCCTATGTATTTGCCTCAATCTTTGTCCTCCAAGGCCTCAACTGTGCTTTAAAGTTAGGGCAGGGAAGATATGCCTTACTGGGACAGCAAGGAAGGTTTTTCTAAGGGAGAAGTCATTTCCTTCACTATGTACCTGGCACAGTGCACAAGAAACACAAAGCCCAGCCTTAAATTCAGGTTCCAGGTTTTTCTTCCTCCCTGTATCATTACTGTTGCACATGGACCATCCATAAGGGATACTATATCGTTTTGCATTCTTTCCCCATTCTCCAATTATCCCTATTCTATGTCCAGGCCCTTTTCACCTTTATTTCCTTTCTCCAGCACTGGTGTTCAAAAATATTTTTAGGTTTGGTAGTTTACCAATAGCTGTTGAGGTTTCCACATTTGAGTCTAAAAAAATGCCAATCATTATCTAGCAGCAATGACAGATGATAAAAGGAGCAGTTAAATCCTCTGGATTCTCTTCCTAGTAGGGAGCCATTTGAAAACTGCACTAGCTAGACAGCACTAAACATTATCAGCTAAAGCCGAAACCAAGAAAAGGCTCAGAACAAACACCCCAGAGCTCTAAAACCTGTCCAAAAATCATTAACACAAAGGCAGCGGTAAATGCAGGACTGTGGATCATGTCACTGCAGCTGACAATGATTAACAATAGGAGACATGCACCCCCATTAAGGTTAAAGTCCAAACTAATCACACGCATCTCTTCATTAGGAAGAGTAAGAGTATGCATTGCTGGTAGGCTGCCAGCAGCCTTATATGAAGAGTACCCATTACATTTCGTTCATCTTTCAGAAAGCACGGGGATCTGCTCCAAGGGCCTAACAGTACGATAATACATTCTGGCATCACACCTCTGAAGTTAGATTTTCATTTAAAAAAAAAAAAAATAGTATTTTTGGTTGCAACAAGATTATGAAATACAATGCAAGCACCTTAGTATATATAGTATTGCTGGAACCCATTTAATTCCCAGCTTTTTTTTTTTGAGTATTTAAAAAAAAACCCAGTACAACTTACATCTACATACAAATTCAACTAGCAGGAATCTACAAGAGTCAGTGTTTTTTCATTCTGATGTACAAAAGCCTATAGCAGAGTATTAAAGGAGATCAAGGGGGAGGGGGGAATCATCCCACCCTAAGTCCTCTAAGTCAATGTATCAAGTATATTCTCTCCAAGTTGTTTCTGTTCAAAAGAAATAAGCCTGAGCTCTTGTTAACATTCAAAATCGCTAACTGAGCCACGGTAGCACACTTGTGCTACCGATTTAACAGACTATGGCACTGCAATGCCCCCAGCAGGGTTTCAGGCAGGTTAGTGATACTCATATCACAGTTTGATCTGTATTGTATAAGATGCTAAGTCACCATTGCTTTCATCTACCAGTAATCACAAGTTGCTTGAAGTAAAATACAAATCTGCCCCACCATCTGACTTGCCTGACCAAGAGCAAGCCATTCTTCTTGATTCATTAGAAGAAAAATTCTCACAGTCCTGAAGTTTTCAGCGGCACGTATGCAAAATGAACCAAACGTTCCAGTTATAGAGCAGAAAGCATTACAAGTGGAAGCGGTTTTTTTTTTCATGCATGCTAGCTAAACACCAAGGTTAAATTAATTGAGGTCTAAAAAAAAACAAAACAAAACAAAACAAAACCTGTTGATAGAAAGTTCAAGTCCTAATCAACAAAGGAAGGTGCTTATGTATTCCCATGATTAATCATTTTGGACTATCAAACACATCCCTAAAGCTAGGGAATGAAGTTCAAAGAGCTACTCTGAACAAACGTACTCATTCTACAGAATACGACGAAGTCTCATGATGGGGAATGATTCCCAGCATGTTTTCAACTAAGTCAAGTGTTTCACACTGCTTTCCCCCAAGTTTAGAGTATAAACAGATTCAGACAAGCCACATAACTGTTCATAGGATTCCCATCTAAGCCCAAGTTAGTAACAAAAGTGTTCCCATGAATCCCACACCTGAAAAATTTTGATCACATTACAAAAAAAAAACCCTCCACCACCCCATGTCATTTAGTCTTAATTCACTGAACTGCAGAACAATTATCAAGTTTGCATAATGAAATTAGACATTGCTGACCAATGGGAGGTCAAGTTTGCTACTAAGGAGACTATCACATACTACAGTCTTCACCAAGATGCTATGAGCACCCCAGATCAAGTATGGTTTGGTTCCCTCCCCCATCAACCAGATAGATGTGTTGCATTTTATTTTCAGTTACAATGGAACTAAAGAAAACCACAAAACTGAGTCAAGACACAAGGATTCAAGTTTGCATTTTTCTAAGAATTTCAACACTGAATGAATTCTTCCTAACAAATTACAGATCTAACCCCAGACCCAGATTTTTAAGTAACCTAGCTTATCATACAAGTATTAGGTGCTGCACTGTAATTTCACTGTCAGAAGTGTGATGTCAGAATGCCCACTGAATAAAAGCACATAGCAAGTCACCAAGTTAGATTATATTGCTTGTTACCTACCTGTATGCAGTCGGCAATGAGAATCTTGGAGCAAGCAGGAATACTACATCCGGGTCCTAATGTCCATTGCCATTTGCGGTACTACGTTCCTCACAGTTACGCACTGCAGAAATGCTGGCTAAATGCAGTTATGTAGCAGGCCTCTACTTTAATAGTGCACAATTGCAGTCCAAGAACACCACAAAACATTCCGCCACAACTTTGTGGCTTACCCAAGCCAAGTACCTAAATTTTAATCTGCCATGATATGCCACTTGTAAGAATTGCACAGGTGTAACATTACAATTTCCCAAATTATCTTTATATTAGTGGTGCAACACTAAAATGTGGTGGGTCTTGAAGTACTTAGGAGCTTTCTAGGGACAAAAGACTACGCTTTCATCACTTAATTGTCAATGGGTTCAGCTTATAGCATGCCTGTTAAATATACTGTCTTGGAGAACTTTTAAAAGAAAAATGTCAAGTGTCCTCTGCAAACAAAATTTTGAGAAGGTAAAGAAAGAAATAGGGGCAAGTGTTTCTTCAAAGGGAAAATGTCTAAAATACACCCTGTTGTCTTCCCCTCCCACCCTAGTTTTCCTTTTACCTTTTGGTACAACTGCTCAAAATGATTTAAACTCGCTAATACACTAAACCATCACATAAAGACTTATTGAAAGTCTCAGTAGCTTACAACCCTTGGTTGTAAGTCAATATTGGTTGACACTGTACAACCGTATCTGCTAAACACTGTTTAGCAACTCTACAGCCCACAAAAAGGCTATCAAGAGCCACAATCTAAGGAAATCATTCTTTCACCACTCCTCAAAGTATATTACTACCCAAAAGCTTAATTTAGGGGTCTGTGCCAGCATCCCTTATAAAGAAAGGCATGTAATCTGAAAAATAAACTGAAACATTAATTTTATAGGCAGATTTTCCCGTTTCCCTTCCAACCCCCACCCACATAACATTCAAATTCACCCTCCATGGGTGTCCCATTGACACCCCTCAATTACATTATTATGGTCCCTACTACACAATTCAACCAAATGAGCTTCTTTCAAATCCAGATCTTTGTTTCCATACAGAAAATCTTTATGTATCACCAATTAATTTCACTTGGCCAAAAACCTTCTAATCACTGTAATTATGACATAACTACCTATTTCCCAGTGTACTGGTGAATGTATTTTCTAAGGAGATTTCTTCTCCCTTTATAGAACATATACCTGTCAAACAACCATTTGGTGACTTGCTTTTCATAATCCACTAGTGTTTTACTTTAAAAAATTACAACTTCCCTATGCATGAAGTACTCATTTGTTTCCACAATAGGTCTCCTTTTGTACTCAAGCACAATACTCAACCTCAGCAAGTGATTTAGAATTTCGTTTGCCAATTAGCACCAAAGATAGAGGTGAGAAAGATGAAGACATCCATAGTGAAAGTCCTAAAATGTAGACTTGGATGGAAATGTAACTAAGAATAGAGCCAAGCTATTTAATTACTTTACATACTGTTAGAAGTTTTTCCTCTTAGCATATTTACACTGGGAAGAAAATCAAGCTCCCATTATACTCATAGACAACAGTAAATAGTCTACTTTATTATTATCAGGTCAGAAGTCTCTTGTTCTAAGAAAATTCAATGAAGTTGACAATCAACTGACATCTCAAAACATCCCCAAGCTTAATGGTGGGAGGAAGAATATTTGTACTTATGTAGCCTGAGCAACTCTTTGCAGGTTTAGGGCTACATTAAAATGGTCAACTCCAAAGTGACAATGGTTTTATGGAAGTCCTGCTTGGTTAAGTCACCACTAGAGCTCTTGAAAAGAACCAATAGATTTTTTAGACTACAGATTTTGCTAAATAGAAGTAGCACAAGGAGGTGTATGTTAGAGTACATAAGGCTAAACCTAACCTATGTTATAATTAACCCTTAACTCTTCAACTTTAAATTTCAGGCTAAATCCCATCTTTTAAATCATTTGAATACATGAAAAGGCTTCATGTTTAACAATCTTTAATTCAAATGCAAAAGTTCAGTACAAGCCATTTGTAGGGCTTGGGATTTGTTTAAAACAAAACAACAGGGAAAATGCAACAAGATGATCTTTCCATTTTTAAACGCTTTCTAGGAAAAGATCATAGATAGGGCCATAAGGGATCCGTTTAACCAAACCCCCTTTTTCTCTCACTACCAGTAGTTTATACCCATTCCATAATCTTAATACATGTTCCTGAATTAAGACTTACAGTTCAACTTCTTCTAAGATAACCATTTAAAAAAACGCTGAGCACCAGCCTGCTTCCTATAATGCCAAACAAATCCTAACTACTTCAATATGCATTTTTTAAAACAAGGGGTGGCCACCATTTATAGAAAGCAATACTTAGCCTCCAGATACGTTTCCCAAAAATGGCATATGCCACTCAAAGGCCTAAACACGGTCATGCTTTCCAAGTGAAATACCTAGCCTAATGTGCATAGAAGCATGAATAGCAAAGTTGAAGATCAGTATTATAACTATTTTTCTATTTATTTGAAGCACAGTAAAAAAAAAAAAAAAAAATGGTACACTTTGGAAATTCGGTGGCACAAGGTACACTGCCATTAACTTGAGAAACATTATACAGTTAAAAAAAAGTAAATAAAAAGAAAATTTTCTCCTGTTTCAAACACTGCGTTACATAATTTTACCTGCCCAAACAGACCATTTACAAATATCAGGTCAATAAACTTCTAACATCCATAAAAAGGTAGCTTTCTTACTAAAATGCAAGAATTTAAAAGTGGTGTCTAAACAAGAAAAGACAAAAACCAAACTGGAATGAAAGCCTAAATATCTAAAATCGGGGTTTTTTATTTGGCCCCTCATACTCTTCTCTCCCTCTACCATATCCTGCTGGAGTTCCAGGCCCCATTCCTCTAGGACCTTGTCCGCCCACAGGACCCGCACCTCCCTGCCCAAAGCGCTCAGTACGCTATTGAAACAATAATTAACAGTTCATTAAATGTAGTTGATGTCCATGTGTGTTAAGTAAATATTTTAGAAGGTTCCGTAGTCAACGTTCGTCGATACAATCACCAATGAGTCGATCCACAGGTACCGGGAACATAGAAAGGAAAAAAGGGTAATTTGAAAATTAGTTTACGATAATACATGCCTTGTGGTATGTTCCCACTTGAGCCATTCTCATACACCTGTTTCAAAGAATAGATCTTCCCTGTAGTGCTAAAAAATTTAAGAATTAGTGCAGATGTGAAAACCCATTCCAAAATGAGTTCTAAGCAATTCACATCAGATTAATCCACTGAACCGCTTGTCCAGGTATGAACAGAATGTGATCTCCAAGCCTAACAAGCCCAATCAGACAAAGGCAACTCAATGAGGGGACAAAGGCCTACTCACCAGTTAGTGGCATGTGCTGCATAAGAAACCTTGTGCTTTTCAAGATCTTAAGACAGATCTGCAAAGTTGCAGAAATCTTAAAAGGTTGGAATGAAGCTTAATAAAATGCTACCAGACTACAAAAAAGAAAAAGCACACAAAAACCCTGAGATTCTCACTTAACCGGCACAGAAACTTGGTCAAGAACTTATTTTGCCACAGTCTCACAGGCATACCACACTTCAGAGCCATCGCTATAGCCAGAGAAACTTACATGCACATTATGTTTCTACATCGTTACAAACACAATACACAGCCCACCTACTTCAAAGTCCAGCTTTTTCTTAGTTTGGTAAAGTGCACCTTCACTTTGTTATGATTCCATGTTTTAACGTTATCTCCCAAAACAGCCTATCACCAAGCTAAAATGACTGTGATAAAGCAGTGAGCGACTTTCACTAATTCATCTAGTTTTAAGTATTTTGACTTTAAAACACAAAGTAAAATAAAACCCAAATATCCTAACAGCAGAACCCTACAGTCATTCCACTTAAAATTCTTCTCAAAATAGCCCAGTTACTGGTCATTACTCAAAGTAAACAAATAAAAAAAAGATGGCACCAGGCTTTAACTATTGCTAAAATTTTTACTATTCCTACAATTTCAACTTAAAACAAACAAACAAACAAAAAAAAACAAAAACAAAGCACTATAGAACTACTGGAACAGATTACTTTCAATCATTTACTTTTGAAAAATCTTCAGGTCTATGACTTCTACAAAAGAGCTATGAAAATTTGAAGCTTCAGTTATATTAAAGTATCTAAGGACTCAGAAGCTGTTAAATGTATAAACCTATTTCTAGACAGAGAACCTAAACACTTGTCAAATTTGATATATATATACCTTGTGCCTTCAATAAGTACTTAAGATTAAAATGTTAATTATAAGTTCAATTTGAAGAAACCTAATAGCACTATATCTAACCATTTATATAATGCTAACTTTAATTCTCAAGAAGCCTTAGGCAGGTCTTAAATAAGGTCTCACACTAAAACCTTAAATTCATATTTATAAAATATCTTATGAGCTACAAAATGCAGCTCCTTTGAGACAAAATGCTATGTATGCATTATTTAGACACAACTTAGCTTCAAAAACTTATTCCCACCAAAATGCAGATCCTAAGATCAGAAGGACAGCGCTACCCCTGCTGCAGCCACTCATAACAAAATTCACTTGACTATCTGAAAGCACCTGACTGGCTATCTCATATAAATAAAGCGTGATTCCATAAAGATGTTCAGAACAAATGCACACAATCAGTATGCTTAATTATTGATTTTTGCTACCCTGTAGCAAAGTAAAAACCTCAGTTTTTAGATGTACCTACAGAGAAACCCAACATGTGGGAAGCGACGAGTCAAAGCACTAGCAGGTACCCTTTTCATGGGCAGAAATAGAAACCACAAATATACGTCAAAGTCCTACCTGTCACTCAACATGCTTAAGACTACAAATCTCAAGTCTGATTCGTATTTATGACAAATACCAGCTCAAAGAATGGCACTGTGCCATTTCTCACTTGGATGCAGAAAAACCATATACAATTATCTAACATCTGAATTTTGGATTTGTCGTGCGCTGGAGATTCAAAAGTGCACAGACAATAAAATTGAAAATCCCTATCTACTTATCGCCAAAGATAACTTCACATACTAACAGCATTGACTCCTGTTGGCAACCAAATCTGGTAGGTTACCACACGTAGTTCTACATTGCCAAAGTAGTCCTCAGTATTATATATATTTACACAATGGGGGAACTAAAAGTCCAGTCGGCTACTTTAAAAAAAGAGAGAAAGAGAGAGAAAAAAATAAATACTCAAGTCGTGAAATTAAGAATTTCCGTTGTACTATGTCCCACGGGATACATTACCATGTCACTTCCCATCATGGAACCACTCATGGTTGCTGGTGGAACTCCAGGATTAGCTTCATAACCTATGCCACCACCACCACCTAGAGGTGGAAATTTCTGGCCTCCTGAACCATAAGGATCTAGGAAACAAAAACAGTGGTCACAACCAACAGAATACTCCCTCTGTGTGACGATACCCTTTATTAAAATCTCACTTACCTCCCATGTTCATTGTTCCACCACCACCCATTCTCATGTCTCTTTCTCTCTGGTGAGGGGAAAAGCACAAAAATAAAATTCTTACTTGTATGTGAAACCTGTAACAAGTACCCAAATAGAAAAAGATTGCAACACAAAAATTTTTTCCAGGTTTGGTGAAATATACTAATTCCAGCACTTGAGGCATAGACAGTTTGATCTGACACCAACCTAGTGTACATGAGAATTCCAAGCCAGTCAAAGCTATGCACCAAGACCTCAACTCAAAAAAACACAAAACAATTCAGAGCTCAAAATGCATGTGTTTCTACTTAATTTGTGGTATGCAGTGTCCTGAAAACAGGTTAAGACTATTAAAGCAACTAACAAAAACCTCCATTTAAATTGGAGCCAGTTAGATCCTGGTTCTGGTAAACAGCAATTTGCACACACAAACAGAAGAAAACAGCTACACTGTGAGAGTACACATTTACACTGAGTAAATTTTATGATAAACAGTACCTACAGGCTTCCACAGACAATTCCAATTAACAAAACTTACTGGATCCATGTAGCCCATTCTGCTGTAACTTTCTTCTCGTTGGCGTCTCATTTGCTCTTCCATCTCACGTTGGCGAATCATCATCTCTTCCTCTCTTCTACGTCGTTCCTCCTCTTGCCTATAGTATTTTTCAGACATACAAACCAAAGTGTCACCCATATCTTTAAAACTTAAGAAGCCAAGTGTGGTGACCCTTGCTTTTAAAGGTACTGTAGAGGCAGTGGGAAATGGAGCTCCGGAAGAAACTCTACTTAAAAGAGCTGGTAGTGGTTTGTCTTTGAATTTTAGAAAGTGTAGATTAAACTAAGTTTGTGAAGTCTAAAACATAACTCTAAACATAGCAACATTCTGGTAAAGGTGATAAGCTTTCCTAATATAAAGCTGCACTGTGCAGCTTGTCTGCAAGTCAGAATGCATTAGAGCATTAGTAAAGGCTGAATTTAACACTATACCTCAATTGCATTTCTTTACGTTTCTGCATTTCTTGACTGTGAAGTTCCTCCATGCGCCTTAATTCTTCCTGTCGTCTCATCAGATCTAAACATTGGAAAATATTTTATTCATGTTACTGAGGCGCTGACCAGTTTAAGATACCAACTGATGCTTACTAGTAAAATTCTGAGGCTTTTTTTTTTTTACCTTGGCGCAAAAGATTTGCCTGATGCTCATGGTAGGCATCTTCCATTTCACTTTCCAATTTGTCTTTTGCGTCCTTCATGTTTTTTTCAACTTGTTCCCTTTGCTGTTTTTCCATTTCATCCAAGGACTTCCATCGTTGAGAATATTCATACTCAAATGTGCCATGCTGAGCAAAACGAGGTGGTGTTTCTCTCTCTCTGACAACACAAAATGTATACAGAAGCCACTTTGAGAATGCAGTATTTACCTGACTTCCAAAAAAAACAAAAACCTTAAACCTGGCATGGTAGCTCATGACTTCAATCCCAGTACTTGGGAGACTGAGGATGGTAGATCTCAGCCAGGGCTACAGTGAAACCCTGACTTGAAAAAACAAATGAATAAAAACATTAACTACCTGGTATGGCATTTATGTAATCATGTAACATAATGTATAATGACTTGGATTTGATCCCCAGCACCAAAAATGGACACAGGAACCACACAGACACACACAGACACACACACACACACACACACACACACACACACACACAAAAAAAAAAAACAACAACAAAAAAAAACCATGATCCTTTCTCTACCCTATCAAGCAGGTGTTAAGGCTCCCAACTTGATATCCTACTCAACTATGGTAAAGAAACACAAGCAATGTAAAACAGAAAAACCAAGAATGATACAGTGAAAGGGTCTATAGAGATGACTCAGCAGTAAAAAAGCAAAGCTGTTCTTCCCCAAAAGGAGCCAGATTGGTAAACCAGCACAAGGCAACTTGTAATGACACCTTCCTCTTGCCTTCTTGAGAAACAGGCACACGTAGTTCATACATACACGCAGGCAACGCACATATTAAAAACTAAACTATATTTAGTTGACAATGCTTAAACAAAGGGTTTGTCAACATTTCTTAACTACCTTTCATTCTCCTGAACCCTTTGCTTAGTCTAACACCACCTTCATTATAATCCCCACCCATTTTTGATACAAGGTCCCAATGTGTAGCCCTGGCTGGCCTGCAACTTGCCTCCTAGACAAATGCACACAAGTCTTAAGTTGTTTACCTAAACTGTTTTTTTGAGTTTTTTGAGACAGGCTTTCTGTGTAGCCTTGGCTGTCCTGGACTCACTTTGTAGACCAAGCTGACCTTGAGCTCAACAGAGATCCGCCTGCCTCTGCCTCCCTGAATGCTGAGATTACAGGTGTTCAAGAAACCGTACATACAATAATAATAATAAGTCCATTTGAACCAGGTATTTGCATCACGCATATTCGTTCTACGCTTTAAAATGTGAGACACTGCCACGATGGCTCACACCTATGATTCCAGCACTTGGGAGACAGTACATCTTCACAGTTTTGGTCTACATAACAACATGGCTTACATAACAGAATTCCAGTCCAATCAGGTGTATAAAAAATTTCTAACGTTCTAAAAAGCTGATTTAGAAATACTTCTCCTTTAAAGAAAAAAAGCTTAGTCTTACTTTTGATACATTGGATTCTTCTGGGCCAGTTTTTCAGGAAGACCATCCTCATCATCTAACTGTTCAAGTGGTTCCACAATGACTGGGCGAGGAGTCCTAGTAACAGAAAGGATTCCTCATCACAACTCCCAAATTTACTTTAACTAACCCCCTAAATTATAAAAAAAACCTAGTAAATAAACAAAAGACAACTTACGTTGTCAGTAGAAAAACACCTTCACTGCATCTTTCAAATGCTTTTCTTGCTGCTGGCTTAGAAGCAAATTCAACAATGCCTTTCCCTGTAGATCTTCCTCGATCATCCACAATTACAACAGCCCTTTCAATAGGACCAAACTGGCTAAAGGCCTCTTCCAACAGTTCATTGGAAACATATGGTGAAAGATTCCGAACAGAAAGGGCTGCAGCATGTGTGGCAAAGCGAACCCGAAGCTGTCTACCTCTCATGGGAGTATCATCAAGTTCAGCTTTGGCGATTTCAGCCAAGGCTCTAGATTCCTGTAAATAGCAGAACATTTTAAACTCCAAAACTAAGGTTTTCAATTTGTCACATCCCATCCTATTCCTATAGCTCAACTCAAAGCTTGGTCTAACTCCTCTCCACATCCCGTCATTCCTAGCAGCTCTGCCCCAATTAGTACTATGCTGACTGTATCAATGATGAGGACAATTAACACATCCCATTTATAAACCACACCTTCAAATGTTTACAGAAGGAAAAAACAAGTTCTTCTTTATTATGTATATATGTTCAAAAAATATAGACTCACAAGTTTAATGAACCCGAACCCTTTGCCTTTGTTGATAAAAACTTCTCCGGGTTCTCCGTATTTAGCAAACAGTCTTTTGAATTCATCCTCTGTGATATCAGCAGGTAGGTTTCCCACAAACAACCGACAGCGCTGTGTATAAGTTTTTTCTCCAGGCCTCCGCAATAGAGACAAATTAGCTTTAAATCCCTAACGAAAAAAACAAACGTAATTTAGAAACCAGAAAAAGACAAAAGATCTGGTTGTCCCAAATACTCCGCATTACCCAATAGTATCGATTTCCTTTTTCTCCATACAAATTCTACGAGATTGTACCACATTTGGGCATCCAACTGGATCACTCACTAGTATCAGAAAGAAGCCGAGATCATACAAGATGCTTTGAAACACATGACAATGTAACACCCCGACGCCGTCAGCAGGCCTAAAAGGTTACTGCGAAGACGGCAGTCCTGGCCTGCTTCCTGCAACAGTGCGGAGGCCTTGGAGGCCTTACACTAGTCCCAAGGGACTGCCAAGCATCCAGCAGCCCTCCCGACGAGCTCTCCTGCTGGAAGCCAATCCCTAGCGCAAGACAAGACCCACCGCGCCTCCGCCCCGCCTTCGCGAGCATGCGCAGGCGCGCTTCCGGCTGGCGACAAAATGGAGGCCTGCGCTGCCGCGGGCGGGGGAGAAAAAAACGCCGAGGGTAGGAAGGCGCCGCCATCTTAGGGAAACCGACAGCTAGCTGGTGCCACTACTCACCTCCGAGTCGGAGATCTTTTCCTCCGTGCGGGGTGCCGGCCCGCCGGGAGGGGGGCCCTGGTGATGCTGCTGATGGTAGGGCGGGTGGTGCTGGCGGCCTCCGCGGGGCTCCCCGCCACCTCGGTGCGGGGGCTTCGGGTGCCCACCGGGAGCGCCCATGCCCGGGCCACCTCCGGGCTTAGGCCCACCTGGCATCTTGCCTCCTTTGGGGCCGCCGGGACCCGGGCCCTGCTTCGGCCCCGGGCCGGCTCCGCCGGCGGGCGGAGGAGGCGGGCCGCCGGTCTGTGGCGGGGTGGTCGACACGCCGCTGCTGGGCGTCGAGGGCGGGGGCGGTCCGGGGGCAGAGGAGGTGACGGCGGGCGGCGGCGTCGGGGTCGGGCCCGGGCCCGGCGGGGCGCCGGTGGTCGGGGGGTTGGCGGGCGGGGCCGAAGCGGCCGGGGGCGGCGCGCTGCTCACTCCGGGCGTCGAGCCGGGGCCTGGCGGGACGACGGGCTTGGACGAGTCCTGCGGCGGAGGCGGGGGCTGCGGCTGGTGCGGCTGGTGCGGCGGCGGCTGCTGGTGCGGCGGCGGCTGCTGCGGCGGGGGCTGCTGCGGCGGGGGCTGCTGCTGCTGCTGCTGGTGCGGAGGCGGTGGCGGGAGAGGCGGCTTCGGGCCGCCGGGGCCCGGGCCCATGGGGCCGCGGTTCTGGTTGAGGCCCATGCCAGGCGGCGGAGAGCGGAAGTCGTGGAGGCCGCCGCGGCCGCCGCCGCCTCCGCGCCGGTGAAAGCCGCCACCGCCACCGCCGCGACTCCGGAACCGATCCCGAGACATGCCTATGGTCAACGGGCGGTCGAGGCAGAAGCGAAGAAGTCGCTCGGGGAACGTGGATGCCACCTTGCTTCGCACAAAATGGCGGACGACACAAGCTGCGCGCCGCCTTTGTCCTCTTCTTAAATAGGCCAGTTCTGCGCGGCCCGCCCTCCCTAGATTGGCAGCTCAATCGACCAATAGGAAGTTCAGAAATTGATGACGACACCTACCTCTTCCCTATTGGCTCCCTCGTCCCGGGGAGGGCGGGAGGGCGGGCTGAGGCTTCCATTTGACCCATGAACGGAGAAGGAATTGTCTGCAGACCTCCGTGATTTGCTGGGAGAAATTTGAATGGGCTTGCCCTGCGACTTTCCCGAGAAATCAAAAATCCAGGGCCCTATCAGCCGGGATTAGCGGGGGGGGGGGGGGGGGGGGACTTTTCTTTCCGGTCTTCCTCGGTCCAGGAGCGGGTCCGTTATCCTCGTCCAGAAAAACATGTTCCCTGGTGCAAAGTTATAAACTGAGCGCCTGCTCTCTCGCTCTTCTTGGTGCCAGGCCAGTGAAGTTAGAGAAAAATCTCACAGAGTTTAAACGATGTTATGCTTACTGAAACCCCATCGGAGGCGAGCAGGCGGGCAAACGTCACTCGGGAGGCTGAGCCCACCACTCAAAAGGGAGGCCGACTAATGGAGTGCAAGTTTATTTCTACATCATCAAGTACATAGAGTTCGAAGCGAGCCAGTACTACCTGAAACGACGTCCCCACACACACTAAATAAACACATACAGAAATGCATAAGTAAATAAATTTGTCTGAGGTCCGGGGGTGGCGGCACACACCTTTTATCACAGCACCCGGGTGGCGAAAAGCAGGTGGACTCCGGGTTCAAGGCCAGCCTGATGATTCAAGGAAAGGACACTAGGGCTACCGTGAGAAACCCTGTCTCAAAAAAATAAAAATTTAAGAAAAAGGAAACAGCAAAAAGCCTATAACAACACAAGGTTGTTATAGCACTATAACATCTGCCATTAAGTTTAAGTGAATACTGCCTTTATCCAAGAGGAAAACGGGCGTTGGTGAGAGAGCAGACTATACAGCCTTTGGCTTGCCTGACATGCAGAAAGCTCAACTTTAATACCCAATATGGGGATAAAAACAAACAAACAAACAAAAAAAAAATGCAGATATGACTGTGTGTGTGTGTACCGTAATAATTTACACCCAAATCATGGGGTGGGGAAACATGAGTGTTTCTGTTGGTATTTGTTTTTTGTTTTTTTTTATATAATATTTTATTAGTTCTTTGAGAATTAGGTACATGCATACAATGTATTTTCATCATATTCACCCCACTCCTTGCCCTAACTCCTTGTGGATGCTCGCCCATAGATTACTGGAGTTCACTTTTAAGATTTATTTATTTATTATATAGCATTCTGCCTGCACGTGTACCTGAAAACCAGAAGAGGGCACCAGATTTTATTATAGATGGTTAAGCCATCATATGGTTACTGGGAATTGAACTCAGGACCTTTGGAGGAACAAACAGTGTTCTTAATCTCTGAGCCATCTCTCCAGCTCCCTGGTTTTTGTTTTTTTTTTTAAGATTTACTTATTTTATGTATACGAGTGTTCTATCTGCATTTACTTATGTCTGGCGAAAGAGGGGATCAGTCCACATTGTAGATGGTTGTGAGCCACCCTGTGGTCACCAGGAATTGAACTCATGACCTTTGGAAGGGCAGACAGTGCTCTTAACCGCAGAGCCATCTCTCCAGCCCAGTATTTGGTTTTTCAAGACAGAGTTTCTCTGTGTAGCCCTGGCTGTCCTTGAACTGGCTTTGGAGATCAGACTGGCCTCAAAGTCAGAGATCCACCATCCTCTGCCTCCCAAGTGCTGGGACTGAAAGGCATGCAAACCACTTGGTTGGCTGAGTTTTGTTTTTGTTTTGTTTTATCATCCACTTAACACTTCATGAATATATAGGGATTTTAAAAATTAGTTGGGTGTAACTTGAATCAATTTCATTAGTCCCAGCACTCAGGAGGTAGAGGCAGGCAGATCTCTGAGTTCAAGGCCAGGCTGGTCTACAGCGTGAATTTCAGGCCAGCAAGAGCTACATAGTGAGATGCTGTTGAAAAAAAATCATTTAGACAGGGTTGAGGACATAACTCAGTAGTAAAGTGTGTGCCTAGCCTGCTTAAAAAGATAGGTTCAGCCCTCAGCCCACAAAAAAAGCAAAAAGTAATTTTTTTTTTTACAATATTTAGGTATTGATAAGTCTTAGTATGAAAACAACCAACAGACAGAATTTGAATTTCCTTCAAATTCCCCAAACCCAATACTACTATGCCAGCAAGATGGTTGGTTCTCGGATACAGATTTCTTCTATCAAGCGTGATGATTTATTTCAATCACTCAGACCCACATGGTAGAAGAAAAGAACCAATTCCTGCAGGCCAACTTGTCCTGTGATGCCCACATATGTCCACATATGGACATGCCCACAAAATAAATGCCATTTAGAAAATCCCCAGTCTTCCCTCATACCTTGGAAGCCTTTAATCCTAGCACTGTTGAGGCAGAGGCAGGCAGATCACTGCGTTCAAGGGTTCAGGGTCACCCTGGTCTACTGAGTGAGTTCCAGGAAACCCAAGGCTACACAGAGAAACTCTGTCTCAAAAAACAGAAACAAAACAAACAAAAAACAACCCAGCATGGGGGCACATACCTGTGTTCCCAGCAGTTGGAAGTAAATACAGAAAGATCTGAAGTTTAAGGTCATCCTTAGGTACATAATGTAGTCAAGAGCAACCTTGGCTGTGTGAGATCCTGTCTCAAAAGCAAAAATCTTTATTCTACCATTCAAAACTACTTGGATTAAGTCATACCAGCCGCTTAGGTCTCAGCAAGGCTGGGTGGCTCTGCAGAATGAGACAAAACAGTTGGAAAGCAGACCGCACCCACCAGCTTCATTCAACATTACTATTAGCTATTAGCTGTAAGTGCGTTTCCATTAGTAAGTCCTGCCTCTGAGAGAAGAGAAGTGGTGAGCAGGGTGACATTTTGGAGACATTTCCTAGCCTTGCATTCCAGAAAGCCCAGCGTCAGAGAAGAGAACCACCAGCCTGCAAGGATAGCTGCTGCATCATCAGCCTGATCACGGCCCACTCAAAGCCCATGAAGATGCCCAAACAGTTCACGGGTTTGTACCAGCCAGGCCTGCCCTGAACTATGTCAGATGACCTCCCCTTGAGACACTCAAGATTTTCCTTCCCCCTCCCCCGCTCTTCCTGCTACTGTCCCACTCCTCCAGATGTTCCAAATATTGTACACAAACACACACGGCACCAAAGTACGAGTTGGCACAGTGTGCCATAGCCACCAGCCTCTGGCCTTTGCTTTCCAAGTGCTGGGATTACAGGCATGTGGCCAACTTGTATTTCATTCTTATAACAGTCACTCACATCAACAGTTTAGAAACAGTGTTAAACAGTGTCTACCATGAGAGCAGTGTCAAAGCATCTTTCTTTTTTGTTTTCTCTGTGTGTGTGTGTGTTTTTAGTTATTTTGTGTATGTGTGTGTGTGTGCGCTTTATGGAGGTCAGGAAACAACTTATAGGAATCAATTCTCTTCTTCCACCACATGGATTCTGGGGAAACTGACCTCAGGTCATCAGGCTTGATGGCTGGCACCCCCACTCTCAGCTATTGCTCTAGCCCAATTATTTTGTATTTTTGAGACAAGAGTTTTTCACTGTACAACCCAGGTTGGCCTCTAATCCTTGGCAGTCCCTCCTGGCTCAGTTTCCTGAGTGCTAGGATTTAGGGTATGACCCAACCGTGCCCACTTCAAACTTCTCTTTTAATTACTAAAGCACAGAGCACAGTGGTAATAATAGTCTCAGTATGGACTAGAATGAGTGAGTCCAGTGTCTTCCTTTTTTGAATCATTGAAGGATGTCCCCAGATATTAGTTATTAATTTCAGATGTTAAACACAACTCAAAGCTGGACAGTGGTGATTGACACCTTTGATCCCAGCATTCTTGGAAGGCAGAGGCTGGAACATCTCTGTGAGTTTGAGGCCAGCCTGATCTACAGAGCAAGTTCCAGGACTGCCAGGGCTGCACAGAGAAACTCGCATAAAAACAAACAAACAAACAAACAAACAAAAACAACCACACACACACACAATACATACATACATACATACATAACTCAGTTTTGAAATTTGTAGTGAATTACGGTGCTTGAGTGACTTAGAGAACAATACCCGTAGCATTTTGAATGCAGGTAATCTTACTACTCAAACACTGTAATTACAATACACAAGTTATAATTATCCCCTTGTTTGAGTTTTTATGAGGCCTAGAAGGGTAAAGAGGGAGAAAATATGCTTGATGAAGCACAACGTTGCTTCCTAATGAATATGAATCCAATTAACTAAATTTGCATCTTTAACTGCACCCTGGGGGCTCTCAAAACCACAACATTGGTCATCGAATGTTAATTTAACTTTGTAGTTCTCCCAACTTCCCTCACGCCATTCCATTCATTTTTGGATGTATTGTCACGTGCCTCTGGAGTTTCATTCACCCAACAGACTTGGTTTGGGGACAGAAACGGAGGCAAAGGAAGGAGGGCACCTAACCTTCCAAATTGACCATTCTGTACTTCCTGTCAGGAAGTGAATCCAGCCGAGTCCAACCGGCAAGCTGATCGTGCAGTGAAGATTCTCACCACTAGGTGTCTCAGTGGCTATGTCACTTCCTCTATCACCTTGGCAGAGAGCTGCGCATACTCTATCACTCCATTGTTAGTTACAAAGACTCCAAGCAAGTAACCTTTCTGAAGGATTAATTTCAGTGCTTGGGTCAAATTTCCGAGCAGATCTAATCAGTGTCTAGAGCCCCTTTCTAAATAAAAGAAGCAGTGGAGTAACAGCTTTGTCTCACTGTTTTCCTTTATCTGGGGACAACATGCTACCTACGTTTGCAACATATTTTACTATTTCTGTATCATCCAGAGAGTTCTTTGGGGTGTTGGGAGGGGAAGGAAAAGGTTTTCCTTTACATTAGCTTGGAGTGATCTGGTTGAGTGGCCTGAGTTCCCAAATCTCTTAACCCCAG